ACCTGCAGAGCTCCTGCCAGCTCCACCTGCAGCTCCCTCGCCAGCTCTGTCCCCACAGCAAGAGCAGGCACATGTTTTCCTTTCTCCACCAGCTGCAGAGCTGGATCTCCTGGTGACTCCCCAGAAGAAGTCATCTCTTGACCTCTACCTGCAGGCAGCTCTTGACCCACTCCTACCATTCCCCTCTCTTCCAGATTTACTTATTATTCTATTTATTATTATTCTGTTCTGGGCTGACAGTGATAGAATCATTGTAAATGAAATTTAAGGGTTTATTCTTGTTTCAATTGACAAGTTTGGTACCATTTGGTGCATTCTCCATATTGTGAAACCTTCACCTCTTCAAGAACATTTCAATCAACTTGCTACACAAATATATTTTCTTTTCTTTTCCTTCCTACAAGATCCTGGCCACCACTCATCCTATGTCCTTGTAATTTACCTGTCCTACCTTTTCCACATCACTGCAGTTGTGTTTCTCCTCTGACTTACCCTGCTGTAACTATTTAATCTCACCTTGTCTGAGAAGGGAAAATCCAGACAGACTGCATCAATTTCTCATTCACATATTCATGGACTATTGGCAGGGCATAGAAAAAGAATTCAGGAATTTTTTGTAATTCTTAGGATTCTTTGTTTTCTTAATTATGTTCCTGGCTTTATAGACATATACACGTCAAAACTGTTCCACGTTTAATTACATGTAGGTCATTTCATATCTATTTCATATGAACGAGACTAACACACTTTCTTTTGTTACAGAGCCGCACCATGGGAGTGTCACACCCATGTTTATTCTTTAGATATTTCCAATGATAAATTATTAATTTTAATTATGAGTGCTTAACAGGAAAAATTCAGAAAAGTATTATAGTTGTAATACAACCATTAAAATGTGAGGCACTATGTGCTCCAAGTAAAGTCTACGGCCTAGAATAGAAAGTACAGTGTTGCAGGCAGGGTGTCCATTGAATTCCCCTGTGTTTTATTTTCCATACAATGTCATGAATATGGCTGCCTATGTCCTCTGCTCTGGACAGAGTAAATTTGCACAAAGTCTGGCTCAGCATGCCACCACCTATAAATGACATTTTTCCCCAGTAATTCAGTTAAAGAATGAGACACCTGAACACAGGCTGATTAAGAATAATGAGGCCTTGTGTACATGATTAAAGAAACATAATGGCCATGGAGGCAAACAAATGGGAGAAATGAGCACTGGGAAACAGCAGTGGCATCTGGTTCCAGGTAGTAAAAACCAGCCCAGAACTAGAATCTACTAGGCTTGTGCCCAGACCACGAATATCGAGGGCATCTAAGAGCTCTCCATGACTCCTCAGGGGCTGGGGCGGAGGTCTTCAATCATAGATCTGCTGTGTCATGGTGTAAACCCCTGCAGCCGTCACAGAGGCCAGCTGATTGGTTGCTCCACACTATACATGCTCCAGGATGAAGTTACTCCCCCAAGTCTTGGCTACACCTTGATGTCACTGGGGCCTGGGCAGCAGAAGAGGTTAGGTCACTGATTCAGCAGCCACTGGGTTTCCCACAAAGAAATAGCTGAGCATGTGGGTGCCCCAGTGTGAGCTAAGGTGTAGCTCCTGAATTCGATGGATGATAGAAAGTTTTCCCATGGTCTTTGAACCAAGTGGGCCTATAAAGTGTCACAGGCTTGGGGCAAGGCATCAGTGACAGCGAGTGGTGAGTTCTAAGTCCAGGACTTGCCCTGCCCAATGGACTGCATGTGATAATGGCAATGTAAGGTAACCTGAAGATGAGGACCTTAGTAGGGATGGTATCAAATTACAGGCAGGTGTGGATGGGGACAGTGCTCAGGTGAAGAGAACCCCATGTGACCCTCTAGTGCCTCACACCTGAGCATGCTAGAATCTCCACAGTAAAGGACTATGTGTGTTATTCCACTCCCAATGGAAATTTGAGAACCAGTGCCGAGAGAGGGACAATGCCAGGTCCTAGGCACAGGACATGAGCAGAGTGAAGAGGATAGGGGAGAAGTCCAAAGGAGAAAGGCCTTCTAGCACAGGACCCAGCCAACTCCCAAAGGCATTAGAAAAACAGCCCTCAAGCTCCTGGGACCTGAGCCTAAACATGTGGGACTGATTTCAAGCAGCATCCCAAGGGATACACACACATTGTGTGCACACACACACACACACACACACACACACACGAACACACAGTGATGCCATGGTCACACACTGGGTTGCTCAAAGGAACATTGATCTGATCTATTCAATCTCTGTGCCTCAAATTCTCACCTTATTCCTGGGCTGAAACAGGCTGGCACCAACACAGAAAAGTACAATATGTCAGTGGCCACCCAGAAGCTGGAAGGCTGGAGGAGAGGGACAATCCACAGCAGAATGTAGTGGAAGAAAAGACCCAGTGCTAAATCCCAAAAAAGCAAGGGCACACAGAGGCCAAGGTCACTACATGGGGGGATCTGAGCAGCCTCACTGAGATGGAACTGATGCCTGAACCTGAGACATGCAGGCCCTAATGCTGTACAGAGCAGAGTCTGTGTGACAGAAGACAGAGAACCAACAATTTAGAGATGCAAATTCAAATTTTTTTTAGTCAAGAAAGGGATGAAAAGAGAGAACAGCGGGCCTGGTGAGAATAAGGGAAGGGAGGAGTGGGCAAGGGACAGGTGTGGGGGCAGAACCTCACAACTGATATAGCACATCAGTGACCACTGATGAATGTGTGGCTGTAAACTTAGGTACAACAGGTAAACTTCAATTCTCTCAGGTTCTGTGGGTTAGGAATTCAGGAGGTGCTGCTGGGGGATCCACCATAGTTTATCCTGATCAGGCTGCAGGATCAGTGGAAGCACATCTGTGGCAGAATCTGTTCTCAGGCTCTCTCTCTTGCTAATAGTCAGGAACAAGTTTAAGATGGAGGTCTGATGTCTGCTCCGTCTCTTACCCTTTTTCTCTGCAAAGAGTCAGCCTCTCCTCAGGGAATATGCAGAGATAGAGATACAGAGAGGAAGAAAAAACAAAAGAGAGAGAAAGGAAGGAAGAACAGAGGAGCGAGAGATCAGGAGGTTGGTCACAGGCATTTTATGTGTGAACCTTGATAGTAACATCCCATCACGTCTGCCATTTTCTGTTAAGAACAAGTAAGGAATTGGGGAGAGAGCTCAGGATAGAGTACTTGCCAACCATGTGTGAGGACCTGGGGTAAATTTCAGACTGGCTAATACAAAGTTGAACAAAATTCACTACCTGTGACCCATGGTCAAGGAATGGGCTACTCAGGAGGTGGCCATCAAAAGGTGAGCTGTCAGCAGTTGAGCACGCTGGCCATGGGTGTAGTGACTCACACAGGTGTGAATGCGGCACAGTGCTGGTAGTTTTGGGGGTGCATCTGCATCCATACTGCTTGCCTAGCCTGTGCGAGGTCCTGACTTGAGGCCACAGAACCAATACATAGAAGAAATTGAGATGCTTAGGGAACAAAATGATGGCTGATCTGATGAACTTCTGCCCCCTCATGATGACACCAGGCAAACATGTCCAGGAGGTGAATGTCATTCACACCACCATACAGAAGGATCTAGGGCTGTGTGCAATGTATTCACCTCCCTACCAACTTTTCATTGATTTCACCTCTAATTCTGTACACTGCGTACACATGACATCAGCCCACAAATTTACAAGTGACATCTCTCACCTCTTATGATGTCCCTAGGAAGCAGATGCCAATATGACCTCCATAGCTCAGGGGGACACACTGGAAAGGGCCTGAGAGGCATGGTGTCTTTTGTAAGTTGACAAGGGAAGTAGGAAGGAGAAGTTGGGTCTAAAACTAGGTCTTCTCAGACTGGGGATTCTGGCTTCATTGAAGTTTTTCCTTTCCCATGGGAAAGCTTTGCCTCCTGCCAAGGATCTATCACTTGGGTGGAGTTGCTGTCTACAATCTGAAGGACACTGGGCAGTCATTCCATGTGCTTCCATGGTATCCAGAGCAAGAATCTCTGGGGGATTCCAGTTGACCCAGTTCCACGCAGACATCATGGAGGGAGCTGGTGGGTGCCTTAAATCATCAGTGTACCAGGTATTGATCATGTTGCAATGACCAGAGCAGATACAAACACTGGTCTCTTGTGTTATGAAGGCCACACAGGCACCATGGAGAGCAGACCATGTACCACCCACATTATGGTGAATGTGCCTAACTTCTTGGCCTCTGTACATATGGACATAAAATAGGGGAAAGCAAGACTCACAAAGGCACACACAATGGGGTGATGCATATGAACTGAAGGTGGAGGAAAGGCAGGCAGGATGCACTCCCACTGTCCACTCACTTCTCAGATAGTTATAGAGCAGCACCCTGTGGAGCACCCATGATTAGAGTTACACGGCAGACTCCACTTGCTTTCTCACAGAGGCAATGGGCCACAAGGGTGGAAAAGGGAGTTGCATTTCAGGCTTCCTACAGAGTGGAGGACATGTGGTAACAGCACTGTCCAGGGACCTCTGACAGCAAGTGAGGGCTGATTATGGTTAGCACACAGGATAACCTGGGAGGGCAGTTTGGGAGGGAGGCCAGACCTGGAGTGCTGCTTACACCTGTCCTCCTCAGGATCAGAGTTTCCCTTCTTGGCTCCTGGCAGGTGCTGCTGAGGAAGATGCGACAACCAGCCCAACCAAATCTGATTGAGTTGGGCCAAGCCTAGCTCACTGAAAATGAGAACTGCAGTGAGAAGGAATTGGCCTGCGTCTGTTGGTTTCTGAGGAGGACACGGGGCACTTTAGAGGGAGAAAGACTCTCAGACTTGGGGCCCCCTGCAACACAGAGGCATGCAGAAGTGAGAGGGGTGAGGGAGAATGGGAAGTTTTCCTGGGGTGCATTTGTGCACAGAGCTGTCCCTGAGAGGCCCTGGGAGGTTTAGGGCCTGCAAGGAGCAAGACAGTTGGGGATTTTTCTAAAGCAGGGCTGGTACCAGACTGAGCTCAAGGTCTACTTACAGATCTTGTGCCAGCTCCACATCCAATGACCTCAACAGCTCTGGGATCAACCTGAAAATAAAGGGCAGATAACTGGTCTGGTGGAATTCCAAGGCAGGTCTGTCACTGGCTCCATGGCAGGTGTCCTGAGCTCCACTCAGGGCTCAAGTCCTGCAAAGCACCTGCCCTTCGCTTCCCCTTCCCTTTACCTCTTCTATTTCTCTCAGTTTTCCTTTCTACTCTTAAGTCTACAGTTCTTTGAAACATTAAATTCTAAGATAATTTTAAGTTAAGATTTCATTAGTTTCCACATGTTCATTTGAGTCACACATAAGCACATCGTCAGTTGGTACAATCTTCAAATCTGTCGAGTGCCAGATTTCTGCTCAGTGTTGGACCCATCCATACCCCTGTTCTCTCCTGCTAGTCCCCACCCAGTGCTGACCTTTCTCTCACTGTGATTTACTACCCTGGGTCTTTCTTTTTATTTTTTTAATTTTTTTTATTTTGAAAGTATACAACAGAACAAGTCAGAATAAAGCCAACTAAGATTGTACAGTGAAATTGATACAGAACTTCACAGCAGGTTACCGGAACAATAGTAATAGTATCACAGTATATTTTCTCATCTTTATAATAGTTGTTCTTTCAATCCCGTATGTCAAAATGAGATGAAATATAGAACACTATAGAACTTATCAAAACAGAATATTGAATAGAGCAGTACCATTAATCAGAAAAGATCAAAACAGTAATAAAAATATTTGCCTTCAAAGAAATGGTAGAAGGAAGTCCCCCTTATTTGCTATGGTCAACCTCCCAGGAGATGCTCAGATTTCTGGTTCCCACTTGCTAATGGGCGGGGAGGAGGAGGGGAAGGAGGATAGGGGAAGGGGGGTATTTGACTCTTGGCCATGTAGCAGTAGGTTCACTATTGCTAAGCAAGGAGGCAGAATGATCATTTGTTTTCACATCGTCCTCAGTTCCAACATAGCTTGGATTTCAGGAGACACTGCTAGTTCACACCCTGGAAGGGCTGCAGTCTGCCACACTGCCTCCGCTTACCAGGGAGGGGAGGTGCTGGCTTGGCTTCCCAGAGTCCTATGTTCCAACATGGCGTGGATCTCAGGAGACAATGTTAGTTCTCCCCCCTGGAAGGGCTGCAGTGGCCCACACTACCACCACTTACCAGTGAGTACTCTGGGTCTTTCCGATCAGTGCATCAGATTCTGCTTGGCCAAACATTTCTGGAGGAGACTGGCTGCTACTGCTCTTTGAAAGAACAGAAAATCCTAAAGAGAAAAAAAAGTCTACAGGGAAAATGTAGAGACCATTGTGCATGTACTAATCTTTTAATTTTTGAAAATGTTTTCCATGATTTCAGTGATACAAAGGGAGCTACAAAGGGCTGATTCATTGCATTTGAAAAACAACAATAATGCCAAAACCAAAACAGGAAACCTTTCTTTACAACCAATAATCAGATAGATGGTTTTTATTACAAGTGTGAGTAATGGGTCCATTTTGTGAAGGAAATGGCAAATTCTTCTAACTCAAAGGGAATCACCAGACATGGCCAACAAGCACACAAAACACTGAGCCTCCTAAACTGGTTTCATGCAGGCATACATCCCTGAAATGTGCTGTTCCCCCATCCACTGACACATTTTAAGGCAGGTGCTGAACAACAATGGGAAGGGCAGAGCACAGCCATATCTCACAGCTCCCATCAGAGCTCTAAACAGCCTTCCCCAGAACTCCTAGGACTAAGAATAGAGTTTTCTTCCACACCGAATGCTGCCCAAATTTTCAAGAGTTTGATTCACAGTACTCTTTGAAGCAGGAATGAGCTGGGACCCTTGCTAGGCTCCACATAGAGTACGCACAAGGAGAGCTGTCTGGACGATGATGTTCACTGCAGCTGGGGGGAACCTTGCCCTGGCCCCAGGGCCACAGTGGTGCAGGGCTAAGGATGACAAACTCATGGCATGACAAGGTTTCCCCAGGGCCAGCCAGTACACTGGGCATCTCCACTGCAATCCAGCACCTCACAAAGCCAGAGACAGCACTGGGCAAAACCAGGGTGGCCAGTTAGATGATGGAGAGACCTGCCTGACACAGCTGTGCAAAGTGTGTCCCTCTGGAGCTAAACCTCCAGCAGATCCCACTCATTGCCTTCCTCATGTCTGGCAGTGAGGACATCACACAGAAGCATTAGCAATATACTTGAAGTTTACTCAAACTAAATCATTTAGCTTCCCTTCAAGAATGACTGATGACTTCCCTTCAAGAAATGACTTCCCTTCAAGAAATGCACCAGTCTGGAAAATCAAGGCTGAGAACATTACTCTGCATTTTGTATAAATAAACTGACCCTTTACAAGATATGGTGGTAATACACGTGTGTGGGTCTGCTATGGCAGAGATGTGGACTCTCATGCATACAGGTTTCATAACTGCAATAGAAATTTTCAAATAAATGATGCATATTCATGACTTTCTGTTTGTATTGCAGTGCAGGAAGGGGGATCCAGGCAGCATCCTAGATTTACTGAGCTGCCTCCGAAAACCTAGTTCAAAACCCACCACACAATTCAATCACCCAACAATGAAAGTTCGGCAACGTGGTTCCTGCTTGTTGTGGCTGGTAGTTGACAATCTTGAGGTGTTTCTATCTGTGCCAGCCATCTCTGACTCTCTTAGCTTCTGTCGGGAAGGGTGTGGATCAGACCATATGTTTACAAGAAAGTTCCATCATGATTTCAGGACCAGTGCCAGCCTTTCATGTACTGGAAATAAATTTTAAAGTTTGGCAATAAGAAACCTATACCATGTGCTTCACAAGTTGAGGGGAAATGAGATTGTTTGAAACACCTACAAGAAACTCATTTTGTCTGTGGCAGACCCACTTGCTGCTGAAATCCGTATTTTCGAGGTAAAAAGCCATGAGTCAGGTGTTGTTGTACAATATGCTAAAATGCACAAAATCTTCCCCAAGTTCAGTTTCTGCTTTACTTCCCTCATTCTACCAAGCCACAGAATGGATTCTGAGCATTCAAACACAGGGTTAGAATTGCAGTAGAGATCTGTAAAAACTTCAGTTAACTGGAAAGTGAAAAGACAAAGAAAGGTTTTTGTCAAAATGCACCTCTAAATATAGGCTTAAAGCAACAAAGAAACCAAGAAGAAGACAAAGAAGTCAAAGACAAAGAAGTCCAAGAGAAGGATAAAGACAAAGATGAAGAGATGAAGAAGAAGAAGAAGAAGAAGAAGAAGAAGAAGAAGAAGAAGAAGAAGAAGAAGGAGAAGGAGAAGGAGAAGGAGAAGGAGAAGGAGAAGGAGAAGGAGAAGGAGAAGGAGGAGAAGGAGGAGAAGGAGGAGAAGGAGAAGGAGAAGGAGAAGGAGAAGGAGAAGAAGAAGAAGAAGAAGAAGAAGAAGAAGAAGAAGAAGAAGAAGAAGAAGAAGAAAAAGAAAGGCAAGAAGAAAATAAGGGGAAAGAAAGAAAAACAGAAAGTAATGCCAATGTGTGGGGTTTTGTCTCCAGTGCCTCAGCCTCACTTAGAAAGGAAAGGATCAAAATTTGCAGGATGGAAGGGTCACTGTGGAAAATGGACTTAGCCCTAAGACACTGATGGTGTGTCTGGCCCACTATGTAAGTCCAACCCAGGGCAGAGCCTGGAGCCTGGTGGAGGCTGAGGCCAGGACCCAGGAGTTGAGGCCCCTGGGGCTGAGGTGGCAGAGTCTTTGCTGCACCCTGGTAGCTCTGCCTTATTGGGCGTGCTGGGCTACAGCATGGATGCGGTGGTAGAAAACGGTGTAAGGCAGGAGGTGCTGGCTCCTCTGCATGCTGCACACTCCCTGCGTGGCCTGAGCACAGGAAGATTCAAGTCTTTCTCGTTGGAAAAAGAGACTCTGAAGAAGATTCTGGGTGTCCTCTACCAGACACAGATGAGCACAGTGACTTCTCAGGTAGGAAGGGAAGGACAGCCACCACAGCGGAATCCACATGGCTTCATGTGTTGGGGGTTTAAAAGTTAGTCGTGAATGATGCATTGCCTTTCTGAATAAAAAGACTCCTTATTTTATATATCTATAAAGTGATGCTTGAATGTTCTTCTATGTGCTTATCCTACATTACAGATAAAGAAAATTAAGTCATCCATTTCCACTCACGTATTCAAGAAAACAACAACTATTTATTCTTAAGTGAATTAAACAGGAGAGAAGTAATATTGAGTGGAGCATGATAAATAATGCAGTGGAACATAACATGGAAAAACCACAAAGACATCCCTCCCAGGAAGAGAGGTCTGCCACTGACCAGCTCCTCTCTCCTGTCCTCACCTGCTGTGAAGGCCTGCATCTCTTCACTACTGGGTGGAGAAATAGCCAGGACACAAGCTTTCTTCAATTCCAGGAAAGATCAGGGACATGGCCTAGGACATGGCCTTCTTTCAGCATTTTCAGTGGCTGTCATTTATAATTAACTCAGCAGCTGTGCTGTGGAACATTCATGGTTTCTAACTGTCCACACCTTAACTGATTAAGAAGAGAATATGGTGGCTATCAATCTCATTTTTTATAATGACACTTAGAATTGGAATTTCTAGGTTAAATGTATATAAGATGAATTTGAGGGTTGCAGATATTTCACCTGAATCCTCAGCATAGAGTTAGAGCCTGGTAGAGGAAGACTGAGTCTGCTCAGATCTCTGTGGAGATCTGAAGTCAGAGAGATGGTCCAGGCAGAGGTGCAGGACACCATGGCACCTAGCAGGAACCATGGCTAAAACAGGCCCAGTCCAGGCTGCCTCATCCATCAGTGAGTTCTAACGAAAGTGTCACACACTCCACACTGGACAGGAGAGAGCTGGAATGGTTCCTCAGCTCCTCCCTACATGTCTGAGGCCCCCTGTCTCACTCAGGGGAGCTCTGTATGAGAAGGTCAGTCTGTTACAGAGCTCAAATTGACTGAATGTTTTCCACCCAGGTGAAAATCTGAACTGCCACATGTGGACTCACCGTAGCTATGGAGCAGGACAGGTGTTTACAGGGTGTAAGGTCACGAGATGGAGTCACTGCAGGCAGGTCAGGATACAAAGCCTTAAATAAGAGACCAGGCCCTCACCAGCCCCAGTTTCCTCCAGCAGTAACCAAACCCTGCAAGAGTGTGCATTAAAAACTGCATAACTGAAAGGAGTTACTCACAAAATTATATATTATGGAGATAGTTTGAAGATATAAAAGTAAATGGTAGCATCCGTAAATAAAATGAAACGTGACCCTTAAAGGATATGTGGTGTCCATTGATGTCCCCAAACTACATGCATCAGAAGGAAACAGTCTGATGAACAGAGCAATAAGGAGCACAGGCAATGTGTAAACATCACAGCTGCTTAATAACAACAACAAAGCTAGGATACAATAAGTGCACTGGTGAATTTTATCCAGTATATAATAAATAATAAATACTGATTGTTTTTCAATTCTTCAATCAAGTTGAAGAAAAAACCACCACCAACTTCTTTTAAGTGACAAATCATCCTGAGAATGAAACCAGACAATAATGTGTTAAAAATAAAATAAATGAAAACACTCTGTTGGCTAATATTCCTAAGGAACACACACAAAAGTATTCAGCTAAATGTTTGCCACATTAACTCACCAGCATGTTCAAAATTAACCAACATGATCAACACTGGGCTCAATCTTAGTGGTGCAAGAATGTTCCCTCTCGCACAAACTATTAAGTGTCACTTACCACATTCACAGCATAAGGCACAGCTAACCCCTGAAGAGATTTGGAAAAACAGCTTTGAGAAGCTCAAAAGTTCACCATTTTTTCATGATAAAAATCATTCATAGACTATAAGTAGGAGGAATGGACCTCAGCACAGCATGACAAGCTCAACGCTTGTCATGGTGCTCAGGGGCTGACAAGCTGAAAGCTTAGCTTCTAGGGTCAGGAAGGAGACAAGGCTTGCAACTCTTTTCAACATACACTACTCAAAGTCCTGGCCATAGAATTTAATCCAGAAAGAGAAAGCAAAGCCTTCCAAATCAGCAAGGAAGAATTAATTGTTGTTGCAGCTCTCCTGAGGTTGCAGCATTGTATATAAGAAATTTAAACTCCATTGACAACCTTATGGAACAAATTCACAAATCACTTAAATTGCAGGATACTTGAGCAACATGGCCTAATCAATTCATTACTACATACTACAAACAAATTGTAGCCTCAAATACAAAGAACACAATTCATTTCACAAATAATCAAAAATAACTAATGATT